CACCCACCCACCCATCCATCCATCCATCCATCCATCCATCCATCCACCCTTCCTCCATCCCTCCCTACCTCTTATTTATTTTCAGTTTTTCGAGACAGGGTTTCTTTGTGTAGAGCAGGCTGGCCTCGAATTTACAAAGATCCACCTGGCTCCTTCCTTTTGTTTAAATAATTAAATATCTTTGAAATTTTTTTACCCACGTTGGTGGTAACTGAGCCCAGTGCCTCATGTGTTTGGCAAGAGCTATGCCACTGAATGCTGTCCCTAACACTCTTTCCTTTTCCCTCTAAGTTGCACAGACTAGCCTAGAATGCACTTTGTAGCTCAGGCTGGCATTGAACCTGATTCTGAGGGAGCAGATGCCAAACATGCCTGAGGAGTTCTCAAACACTTTACCCCTCCCTCCAACTCTTACATTTCCACACCTGTTTTCTTTGATGTTTCTTGTACTTTAAAGGGAGTGATACGGGTGTCTGTTTGTCTTCATACCATGGTGACATTGTACCCTGGCAGCTTGACTGAAGTAACCACTTTAGAAAAGAAGTTTTCCATGTTGGGCGGTGGTGGCGCTTGCCTTTAATCCCGGCACTCAGGAGGCAAAGGCAGAATGAATACAAAGCTAGCCTAGTCTAAAGTAGTTGCAGGATAACCAGGCCTATACAGAGAAACACTGTCTCAAAAAACAAACAAATTCCTTAGCTGATATTTTATGTTTAGGCGATTGCAGGACTTTCTCACCCATTGGAGATGTGTATACCTCACCCAGGTATTTCACAGCTGTGCCGGCCCCTGTACCCTGTGTAACAGGCTACACCGTTAGGTGTGCTCATGTGTATGATAGATGCTTTGCTTTTTGTTTGAGACAGGGACTCTTTATAGCCTACACTGGCTTCAGACATTCAGCAATCCTCCTTCCTCGTTCTTCTGAGTGCTTATATGGATTTGTGAGGCCCTCAGAGATGCGCATTTGTAATGGGAATTCTACTAGCCACACTAGCTATTAGCCACAGTTCAGTGAGAAGTGACTAGAGCAGTGGTGACAGCTGCTCTGGAGGAGGAGTCCACAGTGGCAGTCATGGGAAAGAAGGTGTCTCTTTTGTCCTTAATTCTGTGATTTGTGTCAATGCTGTAAACAGCATAATTGGTTACATTTGACTTTGCCTCTTTCCAGTCAAAGAAGATTGGAATGTCAGAATCACCAAGCTTCGAAAGCAAGTGGAGGAGATCTTTAATTTGAAATTTGGTAAGTGAGATATTGTGGTTATGTCTTAGTTTACAGACCATGGCTGTGTTCCGAATGGATTTTAAAAGTCCAGAATGTAATGAAGAAGGTGCTAGAAAGCGGGCCTTAATTTACTTCTTCTGCTGCTCAGCTCACTCCTTAAACCAATTATTTCCTGTCGCCCTGTTTCTGTTTCCTGCTGTGTCATAGTGAGAGGGAGAGGGAGGGGTTGGGGAGCCACTAAGGGTCACTGTGCTCACCTGGAGAACACGTGGGCTTCATCGTTTGCTTAAGCTAGTTGACCGTGTCCTGGACTGCTGTGTTAAGGAGGTTCCCGGGCACAATGTGGGTTTCCAGTGGGTTCCCCAGTCAGTCACAGAGAAGAAAGGGTGATGGGAAATGCCAGCATTGTCTGCTGCATTGTGCTCCAGCATCTACTCTCTGTGGGTCTTTTGCTCTGTGCTTCTGGAGGCCTCAGCTTGGACCTGGCCTCTGCAGGTCTGGTTTTCCTGGGAGAATTGGGCCTACAGGACAGCACAGATATATCACCAACCCCATGTTATATTCAGTGGCCTTAGTGACCCCTGCCTTCAACACAGAGACCATTGGATTCATAGCCCGGCTGTTTGCAGTGAAGATGTTTAAGTGTCTCTTTGTTGGCTGGGCTGTGATGGCACAGGGCTCTAATCCCAGGACTTGGGAGGCAGAACCAGGTGACCTCTGTGAGTCTGAGTCTAAGCCTGGTCTACAGAGTGAGTTTCAGGGTAGCTAAGGCTGGCATACAGGGAAACCCCGCCACTGCCACTACCCCAAAGGCACTGTTTGTAAACCGGAATGGAGACCTGATGGTTAAGAGCAGCTGCTGCTGTTCCAGAGCATCTATTTTAGGAGTCCAGCACCCACAAGAGAGCTCACAACCTGCTGTAATTCCAGTTGGAGGGGAACTGACCCCTGGCCTCCTTGGGTGCCAGGCATGCATGCGATGTGCAGACAGACACATAAAGTAAAATTTGTCTTGTAGGAAAAATGTTGTTTTTAAAGTGCTGTTTGTTTTTCTAGGTGTGGTAGCTCCTGCTATAGTCCTGGCTCCCGAGAAACTGAGGCAGGAGGATAAATATTAGTTTGGAGCCAGCCTGGGCTTATATACCAAGAACCTGCCCTGAAAACAAAACAAAAATACTGATGTTAAAAAGCATAATGGGCCAGGTAGTGGTGGCCCACGCCTTTAATCCCAGCACTTGGAAGGCAGAGGCAGGTGAATCTATGTGAGTTCGAGGCCAGCCTGGTCTACAGAGAGAGTTCCAGGACAACCAGGGCTACACAGAGAAACCCTGCCTGTAAAAGCAAAAATAACAACAACAACAACAAAAAAGTATAATTTAACTCATTTTTTTTTTATTCCAGATGTTTTGAATATTATCTTCTGTGTATGGGTGTTTGATCTACATGTATGCATGTGTGCCTAATGCCTGTAGGGATCAGAAGAGGGTATCAGATGCCTAGAACTGCAGTCATGGATGGGTGTGAGATGCCATGTGGGTGCCAGCTACCAAATCCCAGGTCCTACAAGAGCAACAAGTGCTCTTCATAGCTTAACTATCGTTCCAGTGCTGACTTTTTTTTATTATTATTTGTTTCCATGTTGTCCTAAGCTAGGTCTTAATAGTGTCTGTGTGGAATGCCAGGATGTTAGCACGACCTGGTTGATTATAGACACAAACAGAAGAGTAGCTTGGTGAACCTGTGTGCTCATGAGTTGGCTTCTCTTTGTCTTTCAGCCCAAGCTCTGGGCCTCACAGAGGCAGTGAAGGTGCCCTATCCCGTGTTCGAATCAAACCCAGAGTTTCTGTATGTGGAAGGGCTGCCTGAAGGGATCCCCTTCCGAAGCCCCACCTGGTTTGGGATTCCACGCCTTGAGAGGATTGTCCGTGGGAGCAATAAGATCAAGTTTGTTGTTAAAAAGTAAGCTGCTTTTGCCCATCCCCACGCTATTTGCCATGGTCCCAGCCTTGCTGTGCCTTCACGCTTGGCCAGACCTCCTGTGTGTGGGAGAGCAGTGACTCCTCCACTGCCATGCAGAGAGCGGCTGCCTCCCTCATTCCTGCCACATGCTGGTTCAGAACACGGAGCTTGGTCGAACTGGGGATCAAACCCAGACCTTGCACAATCTAGGCAAACACTTTTCTGTGAAGGCCCTAGCTCCTCATTGGGGGAGTAAAGGAGACAGGGCACTATTCCACTGAACCCCTTTAGCTAAAGCCCAGGCTGCTGCTGTTTTCCCCAGTTCCCCGGTGACGAATCTTACTTTCTTGCAGAGATTCAGTGGTTGAAGGAATCGGTCTAGTGTCAATTTGCTATTATTAAAGGAGTTACACAGCTGCAGACGTGACTGTCTTAGTCACTGTTCTACTGTGTCAAAAACACCATGACCAAGGCAACTCTTAGAAAAGAAAGCATTTAGTTGGGGGCTAGCTTACAGTCTGGGGGGGGGTCCCCGGTCTGCTGTCGTCACGGTGGGGAGCATGATGGCAGGCACGGAAGGCATGGCACTAGAAAAGGAGCTGAGGGCTACATCATGATCCACAAGCAGCCAGCCTAGTGTGGCCTTTTGAAACCTCAATGCCCACCCTCAGTAACACCCTTCATCCAACAAAGGCCACTGCTTGGTGACTAAACATTCAAATATATGAGCCTATGGGGGCCATTCTTACTCAAACCACAACATTCCACTCTCGGGTCCCCAAAGGGTTACAGCCATTTCAAAATGCAAAATACAATTAGTCCAACTACAAAAATCCCCATAGTCTTTCACAGTCCCAACACTATTTAAAACTCTAAAGTTCAAAGTCTCTTATGAGACTCATGGCAGTTTCTTAACTGTAACCTCCTGTAAAATCAAAAGGCAGATCACATACTTCCAACATAAAATGGCACAGAGCATGCATTGCCATTCCAAAAGGGAGCATAGTGAGGAAATACCAACCAAAGTAAGACCAAAGACTCATTGGCCATACTTCAAACTCTGCATCTCAATGTCTGATGTCAAAGTGCTTTTCAGATCTCCAACTCCTTTCAGCTTTGTTGATTATAACATACTTCCTTCTCTGGGGTTGGTTCCATTCCCTGTTAGCAGTTTTCGTTGGCAGGTAACCCATTGCTCTGGCATCTCCAACATCTTAGGGTCTCCAGGGCAGTCATGGCCTCCTCTCTGGGCCTCCATTCAGGGACAGCCCTGACACACACCTGGCCTCGGGAGCTTTCCTTAGCCATGGATGATTCCAAAACCTCTTTCTTGTATTGTTGACTCTAAATTCAGTTTCGTGGCTGAAGCTGCCAAGTTCTTCTGCTTGATGGGGCTGAACCTGCCCACTCTTCCAGTTACATTTTCATCATCAGGTTGTGTTTATGGTTTCCTTCGCTGCTTAAGCTTTTCTTCACAAGTTGGGAGCATAGCTGGGTGGAGTCTTGCCCTGAAGTCACCACTCCCTTTATTCCATTTAATATCAGACTTTTCTTTAAACTTTTCATCTTGAGTACTGGACTTAGCTCCTGGTACCCTTTTCTCCTCAAACTGCACATTTTGTGTTTCTCTTTGGCCAGCTAGGATGTCTGAAAATCACTGTGAATCCATCAGAAACTCTTCAATTTAATCTCAGGCAGATTTTTAGGACAAGACAGGAAGCGGCCACATTCTTTGCCATAATATCCCAAGAACAATCTCTAGGCCACTTACTGCTATTCTGCCCTTCTGAAACCTCAGTACTGTCTTCCATGCTCCTACTGTTATGACCCATTAAGGCTTGCTTAAAGCGTTGAACCACTTTTTAGTCCAGAATTCACAATTCACCAACAGGCAGCATGGTCAGGCTTGTCACATCAACACCATTCCCTGGTACCAACTTCTGTCTTAGTTACTGTTCTGTTGCTGTGAATGACACCGTGATCAAGGCAGCTCTTATAATAGAAAGCATTTAATTGGGGGCTGGCTAACCGCTTCCAAGGCTCACTCCATTATTGTCATCAGCAAGGGCAGCATGGCAGCAAGCATGGCAGGATGACAGGCATGGAGAAGTAGCTGAGTGCCACATCCTCATCCAAAGCATGGGGGGGGGTGTGTGAGCACCTGGTGTGGGCCTTTGAAACTCAATGCCACCCTCCAGTGACACTTTTCACCAGCACACCTACTCCAACAAAGCTGTATCTCTTAATCCTTCTCTCAATTAGGGCCACTGCTTGGTGACTGAGCATTCAAACATATGAGCCTATGGGGGCCATTCTTATTCACACCACCAGGGTTAACAGCACTGGCTTCTCTTCTCCTGAGTTCAATTTTCAGTACCCACATGGTAGCTCACAACTGTCTATCTCCAGTCCTGGGGATCTAACACCCTCTTCTGACTTCCATGGACACTCGGTATGCATGTGGTACAGACAGACATGCAGGGAAAACACCAATATATACTTTTCTTTTAGAAGTAGTTCTGGCTGTTTGTGCTGTGTGTAGAGTGACGCACTGTATGTTCTTTCTAGGCCTGAGCTAGTAGTGTCCTACTTGCCTCCTGGGATGGCTAGCAAAATCAACACTAAAGGTAAGAGGCAGCACCTCAGGGCATGAACACATTACATTCTTTGCTACTGTTCCTATGTCACGTGGGTCATATTCCATTATCACCATGGCCTTTGGTTTATTTCTTTGCTTTTAAGCTGTTTTACTTAGTGGATCTCTTTGTCTGTGTTGTGTTTTCTTGCCATCTCGGATATTGGCATCCTCCTTCATCCCTGTCTCCACAGCTTGTTGGCATTCATGTGGAGGGTTACACTGCCGTTTAATGCATCGGGTTTCTTTGAAAAGAGCCAAACTGTATGATTGTGTTTAATTCTCTGCTTTTGCAAAGCACCCTCTGTGGTTTTTCATGCAGCTTGCAAAGGTAATCTTGCACTTTGCCTTACAGCATTGCAGTCCCCAAAACGACCACGAAGCCCTGGGAGCAACTCCAAGGTTCCTGAGATTGAAGTCACGGTGGAAGGTGAGCCGTCCCACACTTTTCTCTTGATTCTTTACCTTACAGTTGTGTGGACTCAGTAACTCTGCTGCCTTTGAGGTTTTGTCTGAAAAACAACTGATGCTAAATTTATTAATTTTTTCTTTTTAATTGTTTTTCAAGACAGAGTTTCTCTGTGTAACAACCTTGTCTGTCCTGGGACTCGCTTGGTAGACCAGGCTGGCTTCAAACTCACTGAGATTCACCTACCTCTGCCTCCCAAGTGCTGGGACTAAAGGCTTGAACCACCACCACCCAGCGAATATTTTGCTTTTTAATGCATGAGTATGTATGTGTGCTCTCGAGTGTGTGTGCATGCGTGTGTGGGCGTTCATTGTTACAGGCTATCTCAGGTGTCACCCTCAGGAACACTGTCCATGTGCTTTGAGATAGGTCCCCTTTTTGGACCTTGACCTAGCTGGGTAGTCTAGACTGGCTGCTCTTGAGCCCCAGGGATCCATGTAGCTAGGGATCAAACTTTGGTGACTCAGCTACCTCCCTGGCATAATTTATGACTGTTTGTAATCTGAGGGTCCTGTGAGGGTTACTTGAGGGGAACCCCTTGGATTGTTTATCCATAGTCAGGCAGACCAAGCCCAGAGAGATGTTTCTCATCTTTTTCCTGGTGGTTTTTCCTACTTTTGATGAAATGCATTTATAGGTGGTTTGAATAACAGTGTGCTTGTTCAGAGCAGCTCTGTGTCTTCACATATATTCTCTTCCGGCCTCTGGTGTAGGCCTGTGAACTTTGGAAGCTCATTGTCTAAAACGGCTGACATAGTAACAGGCAGCCCTGAACCCTGGAACTGCTAGGCACATTGTTTTCATCGACGCAGAAGGAAGCAACTGCCTAGGGGACAGTTGATTCTTTTTGATCCTCACTTTCTGTATCCTCTCAGTTGTCCCCACTTAGTTGTCTTGCATACTTGCACAGAGCCCTTTTTCTCAAAGAAAAGGGAATCATGTTAAGTGATTAGTAAATAATGCATCCTAGCTACCAGAGTAAACAGCCCTGAGGAGCAGTGGCCCACAGGGAAGCAGTCTTCCTTGCTGCTTTTACAGAAGATCTGAGAAGGGTGACTTGTCCCCAGGACTCTGGCCCTTCCTTCCTTGTAAAGTGCAGGTGATGTTCCTTTTAGTCAAAACACTTCAACAAGAAGCCAAGTCAAACCCGGGCTGAGCCCAGGTGACCTGAGAAACATCAGCAGTGAGGGATGAACGGACGCTACGTCAGCCTGAGGTTTCATCCTAAGGTTCTGGTTCACAAAGGAGATGACACTGCCTTTGGTCTACTTGAGGCAGGGACAGAGGATGCTCTTTCCTGGACGGCAGGCATGGGAAGAGAGGGGAAGAGAGTGTTGATCATGCAAAGCCGTAGCCTGGTTGTACATTTTGTTCCTGTTTGTGCTGGATCTCAGGTGCATTTTGACATCTGTTGCCAGTTTCCTAGGGAAAGCTGAGTTGCTGAGTTTAGAATCAGAATGGGTAGGGGGTATGAGGGAGAGGAGAGGAAGGGAGGGAGAGAGAGAGAGAGAGAGAGAGAGAGAGAGAGAGAGAGCGCTGTATTTTCTGGTACATGGTACATGCTAACCACAGATGAGCACACCTGGTAACTGTGGTTCGCCTTTGAATTTTCTCTAGGCCCCAACAACAACAGTCCGCAAACCTCCACCGTTCGAACTCCTACCCAGACCAATGGTTCAAATGTTCCCTTCAAGCCTCGAGGGAGAGAGTTTTCCTTTGGTAAATACATCTCTTATTTTTCTTGATTTCAGCATTTCACATAAAAAGAATTAGTGTGGTGTGTCAGCAGGACAGTGGTTTTTCTTGGGTGAGTCAGTGTGTGTCAGGTACTGACATGCAGCAAGAGCCAGGTTGCCTGTGCTATGGTGTGAGTCTTCCTATAGGCCGTGAGCGAAGTGTGTACCCCAGGGGTGCCTGAGGATTGTAAGTTGGGTTACTGCATGTACCCAGAGCTAGAGCTGGCGTGTGGTAGACACTGTAACAGGTTCTTTTGTTCTTCATTTCAGCGTGGGTCACAGTGTTGGTAACCCAGTCTAACAGTTTAGTTTAGTTATATGAGGATTGGAAGGACAAGCACAGCAGCCGTATTAAGAACCTGCATGTTTCTTATATAAAGACGTAGAATCATGTATGTATACATGATGTGAATGGAGTAACACTGTCTACGGGACACGGATGCACTAGCGGGCAAGGGAGAGAGCATGCGCAGCGCACAGATTCTGTCACACAGTGACACGGTGCACATGAAGGGAACAACCTGCTGTGTGTTCTCCTGTGCTCTGTAAAGCTGCAAAATAGATGAAATATGAAGCCAGGGCATTGGCGTGCTCCTTTAGTCCCAGCACACGGGAGGCAGATAGAGTGACCGAAGAAACTATTCAGTCAATGAAACGCTAATGTGAAAATCCCTGCCCTCCCCGGGGGACCCTTGCTGACGGCGGCTGCTGCTCTCTACTCGCAGAGGCCTGGAACGCCAAAATCACAGACCTGAAGCAGAAAGTGGAAAACCTCTTCAATGAAAAATGCGGTAGGTTTGTTCAGAAGCATTGAATATGAAGTGGTTCTCTAATAGAATTGGTCTAATTTGATATTTAAATGTTTTTGGAAATGTGTGGGTTTCAGCTTTCCATTTCTACCCATTCTACTATCAAGAATTCTAAGAATATTTTACAAAATTAAAATGAATATGATTTTTCAAATAAATAAGGATTTGTAGCTGCTGCAGAGTGTTGCAAATGGCTGTTCTAAGTCGTGCTATGGAATGAGAGTGTCCTGTGTTACAGGGGAAGCTCTTGGCCTTAAACAGGCCGTGAAAGTGCCATTTGCATTGTTCGAGTCCTTCCCGGAAGACTTCTATGTAGAAGGCTTACCTGAGGGGGTGCCCTTCCGGCGACCATCCACATTTGGCATTCCAAGGCTGGAGAAGATCCTCCGGAACAAGGCCAAGATAAAGTTCATCATTAAAAAGTGAGGACCGGGGCTGGAGAGATGGCTCAGAGCACCGGTTGTTCTTCCAGAGGTCCTGAGTTCAATTCCCAGCAACTACATGGTGGCTCACAACCATCTGTAATGAGATCTGGTTCCCTCTTCTGGTGTGCAGATTTACATGGAAGCATACATAATAAATAAATAAAGTCTTTAAAAAAAAAATAGTGAGGACCTTCAGTTTGAGAAGATGTCCAAGGGCTGGCTTCACAGTGCGGTGCTCTGTCAAAGAGCTAAGTTCTTATAGGATGGAGAGACAACCCAGTGGTTAAGAGTGCTTCCTGCACAGCTTTGAGAACCTGAATTCAGATGCCAACTCCCTCATAACAAGCTGGGGGTAGCCTGGGACCATAGTGCTGGGGGTTGGGCAGAGGCTGGAGGGTCGTTGGGGCCCGCTGCCTGGGGTGGGAATGTGAGCCGTGGGTTCTGGGAGAGATCCTCTGTGAAAGAAATAAGAGGAATAGAGGACACCTGAAGCCCTCCTCTGGCTTGTGCATGCAGCACACGTGTGTACATGCAGCACAGGCCCTTTTATTTGTTTGGAGGCAGGGTGTTACTTGCATACACACTCTTCATGCATGTACCCAGGCTGCAGGCTTCTGCTCTTGGGTCTCATACTGATTCTCAGTATGTGCTCTGCCCTTGGGAAGAAAATGGCAGTGACATCAGGGTGGCCAGAGAGGGTCCAACAGCCGTAGATGCTGGTGTGATTGGTCTGCTTGGGCCCAGGTTGCTTCCAAGTGTGGCACATGATTTGCAGAGCTGCAGGCTCCAGCGATTCTTCCCTGTGTGCCTTGCTCTGAGTTAACCAGCCCATGCCCTTTTCCTCTTGATTGTAGACCTGAGATGTTCGAGACGGCCATCAAAGAGAGCACCTCTTCCAAAAGCCCTCCAAGTGAGTGTCCTTTGCAAGCAGTACCGTGACAGCGTGGCTCTTGGGCAGTCATCGGTTCTAGAGCAGCAAACACTGTGCAGTGTTGCTCTGCAGAAAGATGGGCTGTCAGAAAGTCTGCCATCTTTAGTGTCTTACTGGAATACATCCAGCATATAAGTACCTGCCCTACGGGGCCAGGCTGAGGCCAGCTCATTGCTGACGAAGCATGCGGCTGTGGGCTATTAGAGAAAATTTTGACTATGTATGTTTTGCCTAAACCCTAATCTTTCATTTTTGCTTACAGGGAAGATAAACTCATCACCCAGCGTTAATACTACTGCATCAGGTGTGGAAGACCTTAACATCATTCAGGTGACAATTCCAGGTATGATTTCTGCCTGCATCATGTAATCTTTTGGACTCCAGATTCCTTCAGGGACAGCTCACGTAGTACAGTGTGTTGTGTGCTTTGACCAAACCATCCCTCCATCAACCTGGCTGCACAGGGTCTGACCTAAATTCAGCCCTTCTCATTACTTCATGTCTCAGTTCTTCAAAAAGTCTCTGTGGAGGCTGGAGAGATGGCTCAGTGGTTAAGAGCACTGGCTGTTCCTGAAGACTCGGGTTTGATTCCCAGTACCTGCATGATGGCTCACAACCATTTATAACTACACTCCCATGGGACCTTACAACTCTACTGACCACCTTGGGCATTGGGCACACACATGTTGCATGGGCCAAACACCCATGCATATAAAAGAAATCTTTAAAGAATAAAATATTCTTTTAGCCAGGCGGTGCTGGCACACACCTTTAATTTTAATCTCTGAGTTTGAGGACAGCCAGGGCCACATAGGGAAATCCTGTCCTGAAAAACCAAAATAAGTAAATAAGATTCCTTTAATAAACAGCCTTTATGAAACAGCAAAGATGTTTGCTTAACAGGAATGGAGTTGGATCCTCTTAAGTTGGTTTTAGAACATTTTTTATTTTTCCCTTTTTTAAATTTTATGGTTATTTTTGTCTTGGTGATGTCATAATGTGGAAATACCCCCCTCCCACACACACTTTTTTTTTTTTAGGACAGAGTTTCTGTATTAGCTCTGGCTGTCTTAGAACTCACTAGGTAGACCAGGCTTGTCTCGAAATCACAGAGATTCATCTGCCTCTGCCTCCCAGGTGTTGGGACTAAAGGTGTGTGCCACCACTGTATAATTCTGGCTGGCTTGGAACTCACAAGGGATCCACTTGCCTCTGCTTCCTGAATGCTTGGGTTAAAGGTGTCCATTACCATGCCTGACTTGAAAACCCTTTCTAGAAAATATGTGAGTCAGATGCAAGTGCACTCACTCTCACCTCTCCTCTTGTCTTAGATGATGACAATGAGCGACTGTCCAAAGTGGAAAAGGCCAGACAGCTTCGTGAGCAGGTCAATGACCTCTTCAGTCGGAAGTTTGGTAAGTTTATAACAATTGAGGAAATGCTGTTTCCATAAAAGCCTTTGAGTGGATCCCCATGGGGTAGTTATGAATCGGTAAGTCCTGTTCCGGACATTAGATGTTAGATGGCACACTTGATGACCAGGGTCAAAGTTTAATAAAACAGGGTTGCTGCTGGACTTTGTGTTTGCGATTGCTTTGAAGATGACGGTCACACTGGTCCCTGTGCTGTTTGTCTCACTGCAGGTGAGGCTATTGGGATGGGCTTCCCTGTGAAAGTCCCGTACAGGAAGATCACCATCAACCCAGGCTGTGTGGTGGTCGACGGCATGCCCCCTGGAGTGTCCTTCAAAGCCCCCAGTTACCTGGAAATCAGTTCCATGAGAAGGATCTTAGATTCTGCTGAGTTTATCAAGTTCACTGTCATTAGGTGAGAACTCCCTGCTTAGTCAGAACGACACCAGGCTGTCATTTCCCAGAGTGTAGGGATTATAGATGTATAATGTGTCTTTAACTTTATTCTCCAGTGGTTTGTTTGTTTGAAAGAGTCTCAGTATGTGTCCCTGACTTGGAACTTTTTGTATAGACCAGGTTGGCCTCAAACTCAGGGTCCTGAGTGTTGAAGTGCCTCTGCCTTCCAAGCGCTGGGATTAAAGTTGTGTGTGCCAACTTGTACATTCTCAAGATGTCTCTTGGCAGTCATTGCCTGTTCATCTTTTAAAATGTGGTTACATCCAACTGTTGACATTTTCTGGCTGCTTTCTCATGACACTTAACGAAACACCAGTAATGGAGCCTATAAAAACCTAAAGTATCTGTTAATTATCACAGAAGTAGTTGGTGTCACAGAGCATTGGTTGTGGCATTCCTGGCAATCTGATAATAGACTTGTCATTCTGTTCTGACTGGCTTAGAACCCACACCAGGATGGCCTTCAACACTCAGAGATCTGCTTGCCTCTGCCTCCTACAGGCTGGGGTGAAAGGCCCGCACCTGGCCCGGTGTATCATTTTCTAGTAGTGACCTGCATATACTATCTACATGTGCTATATAGATAAGTAGTCACAGAACACATAAAACATAGTTAACTGCCATATGCCCTGTATATATGTGACTGGTTATAAATAACTGGTGTATATTGTATATGATACATACTAATAGCACAACCAGAGTCATTGTTACAAGATGTAGTAATCATTTCATATGCATCTTAAATGTCCCTTCCATGGGATTATAAAGTAGTACATAAGTGGCATTAACAGAGTAAGCAAATGTCCTTATGAAATGAAACCATCACATTATACATTTTTTTCCTCTTTAGACCATTTCCTGGACTTGTGATTAATAACCGTGAGTATTTCATGAAGTTTTGTTTTGTTTTGTTTCTCGGGATCGGAGAGTGCACATGGGTTTGGGAGTGGGTGCTGTGCAACCTGCAAAATAACGCATTATATCATCCATCCTGTAGTATGTCGCCTACTTGTGAAATTGGTCGTGTTGCTTGACTCCCTCATCTTCACTTAGTCAGAAGATGGTAACTCGGGGGAGGGTGGGTGGAGACCATTTTTAAAGGGCTCGTTATAAGCAGAACTTTACTAGCTCCTGCCTGGGTTAATAAAGCTCCACTATGTGGTCACCGTACTAAAGTTCAGGACTGTGCTGTAGGCCACCAAAGTGCTGGGCATAGTGGAGCAAAACCTGCAGTCCCAGTGCTTGGGAGGCTGGAGCAGGAGGATCAGGCTAGAGTTCAACACTGTCTCGGGCTGTATACAGTTCAAGACCAGCCTGAGCCACTGAGACCCTGTCTCCAGAAAGAAAGGGAAGAAGGGCTGGTGATGACTCTGCTGGCAAAGCTTACTGCGTGGGCCTGGCCACTACTTCCACCCCCAGGACCCATAAAGGTAGAGAGAGAACCAACTCCACAAAGTTGTCCTCTGGCCTTCACACGAGTGTTGTGGCATGCATGCCCACACAAACTTCATACACACAACAATTTTAGAAGTCCATGGTAATTTTTTGTTGTTAAATCTCCCTTGCAAATTTCAGTTCATTTGTCTTTTTTTTAAGACAGGACTCATATGTCACCTTGGCTGACCTGGAACTTAATATTCAAGGTTAGCCTTGAACTCAAAGATCCACCCACCTCTGCCTCCTGAGTCCCACAGTAGCAGTGTATGCCACCGCCACCAGCTCTCCTGTCCTTCTATGTGGTTTAATTTCCAAAGAATGCTGTATTTTGTAACCCACTTTTCGTAGGTTCCTATGTATGACACTCAGCTTTATTCTTGCCCTTCTACAGGACTCTGATTTGAGTTTATGGTGGCATCTATTAGGATGCTTGCTTCGTTCTACTCTTTACTCTTTTGGCTTTTGGGGGTCCTGCCACCCAGCTCCCAAATAAATCACACACAGAGTTTTCTTCTTTCTTACAAATCCCCTGCTTTAGCTTGGCTTGTTTCTAGCCAGCTTTTCTTATCTTAAATTATCCCGTCTATCTATTGCCTCTGGGCTTTTATCTTACTCTATTTCTGTATACCTTTCTTTATTTCTTTCTCCATGACTTGCTGTGTAGCCGGGTGCCTGACTCCTGATGTCCTCCTCTCCTTGTTATATCTTGCTCCTTCTTTTCTCCCAGATTTCTCCTATTTATTCTGTCTGCCTGCCAGCCCTGCGTATTCTTTCTCCTGCCTTGCTGTTGGCATTCAGCTCTTTAATAGACCATCAGGTGTTTTAGAGAGGAAAAGAAACATAGCTTCACCGAGTTAAGCAGATGCAACATAAAAGACTGTAGTAATCTTTGCATCATTAAACAAATGTTACATTCCTTAAAATAATATTCCATAACAATTAGTGTTCCTTTTTTTTCCCTTCCCCTTTTGTTTGTGTGTGGGGTCCTGGGGTCCTCAGAACTTGCCATCTCACATGCAGTGGTCAGAAGACAACTTGTAGCAGTCAGTTCTCTCCTCACCTTATGGGGCCCAGGGATTGTCAAGTTTGCAGGTGGCACCTTTACCCGCAGTGTTCTACTGCCAGCTCTCCTCCATTCTTGTGCTGAGATGCAGAGTTGAAACATAGATGTCCTATGTGTCAGTGATTACATCATCTAAACTGTCCTGTTTCATTGCAGAGCTGGTTGATCAGAATGAGTCCGAAGGCCCTGTGATACAAGGTAAGAGAAGCATACCACCCTATTTCATGATGGCATCAAGCCCTGGTTCTTACTGTGCCCACTTCCAGTGCACACCTGCACACACTCAAAGACAAGTTTCTTCCTCTCCTGCCATGACTGAAGGCCAGTAAACTAACAGAGACTTGAGCTGTGATTCCTACGTGGTAACTGAACCACAGACCATGTAAACCCATGATCCCATGATGTCACGATGCTCAAGACCAGTGGCCTAAAATAAAGCATCAATATGAGAAAGCTGCCTGTTGAAGTATGTGTTTATGTGAGTGTGGGTGTGCATGCCTGTGCAGGCTTGGACTGCAGAGACGGCTCAGTGGTTGAGAGCACTAGCTGCTCTTCAGAGGCCGCTGGTTGAATTCCCAGCACCCACATAACGGATTACAGCTGCCTGTAACCCCAGCTCCAGGGTCTCTGAAGGCACCGACATGTGCATGGTAGTGACACACATGCAGACAAAATAGCTAAATAATTACAATAAAAAGAAAGTTGACAGGCTGTTTCCATCATTGGATCTTTTTCCTCCTTCCTTTTTCTTTTCCTCTCCTTCTAGGCTTTTTAAATAATTTAAAGCAACCTTTGAAAATTGTCCAAATGAGACTTGATGTGTTTCTCTTTAGAATCTGCTGAGGCGAGCCAGTTGGAAGTTCCAGCCACAGAAGGTAAGGGCTGTGCAGCTCCCGTTGTAGAGGTCTGGAATGACTTTGGTGCCTCAGGTCAGCATGATTATTTTGTGTTGTTTTTTAAAAGTGTGTGGGTATTTTGCCTGCTTATATATCTGGAAGGCATCCGACCCCACCCCTGGAATTAGATGGTTGTGAACCTCTGTGAGGCTGCTGAGAATCAAACTCAGGTCCCCTAGTGCTCTTTACTTCTGAACAATCTGTCCAGCCCCAAATTGATAAGATGTCTCCCTGTTCTGTGGAGGGAGACTCCCAGCAAGCTCCTTCTGTCCTCCCTGTGTGGCTCTGGCTAAATTCTAGATCCCTATAGCCTAGGTGGGGCATGGCCGTAAGTGCACACAAAGCAATATGGAATCTGTTCCTTGCAAATCAACTCATGAGTTGGCTGTGGCTTAGCAGATGAACTTTTGGCAAGCATGTGCAGGCCCTGGGTTCCATAACAGAAACCCATAGGCTTGTGTGGCTTCCTTCAGAAACAAGCAGGTTTGCATCAGCAGTGCAGCTCACTGTCGCCCTTCTTTCTCCCTTAGAAATTAAAGACTCGGATGGGAGCTCACAGATCAAGCAAGAGCCAGACCCTACGTGGTAGACTTTGTCTGCAGGGTAAGAGCCTCTCCCCAACTGCCCTTGGTCCATACTTGCCTGCAAAAGCAGGTACCACCACTTCTGCTTTAGCTGAGTGCAGGTCAGCTGGAGCTGCAGACCAAAGGTTTTTCTGAGAAGATGTAGAAGGACTGGGCTTGGAGGCTCAGGTAGAGGCTCATGTGTCTCCTGTGCATTCCAGGCCAGCCAAGTGACATAGTGTGGCCCTGTTTTGGGGGTAGGAGGTGAGAGGTTATGTAGAAGTATTTCCCCCTTAGAAGAGACATATTTTGAATCTGTTGTTTCCCTTTTGTTGCTGACTTGCTAGGTGTGGCCCACCCACTAATAGGAGGGTTATCTGTAACCCACAAGTGAGGAGACTGCATTCTGCCATATGGCAGATGAGGGTTTGCCCAGTGTCAGAGCCTGCTCCAACGAGTCAGCTGGGTTACCTGAGTAAGGGCATGAGGATAGGCAGATAAAATAAACACAGGATAGATTCAGGAGGACTGCCCAGTCCATGCCTTTCAGCACACCAAACAGCCGAGTTTTAGACCCTTCTTATATAACAGAACAAAGAGCAGCATAGTCAATTAACCAGTTCCCTGCCCTGTCCTTGAATTGAGCAGCAGCCAGGTTCACTGTCTATCACATGAGTCCTGCTAGGAGCAAGCAGCTTCATTCCCTGTCTCTATGGGCCTTTGACTGGCATCAGAAGCTTGTCTTAAGGAACTTGTCTCAGGGAGACTGAAACAAACATGTTTGAGCTCTAATGTCTTGTAAGTTAGAATAGACTCCAGATGGAAACTGAGTCACTGTGGGCTCCCACAGCCCGGCTGTGTGCCTTGCCCTATCAGACCACAGACACATCTTTCACAACTGCATTTGAGCCTGGTACTTTATCAGATGGCAGTAGGGTGTGTGACAAGGTCTGTCTTGCTCCTGTCATCCGGTTAACCCATTGCCTGCTTTTTTTGTTTGTTTGTTTGTTTGTTTGTTTGTTTTTCTTTCTGCAGTTCAGCTTCCAGTGAGAGTGGTGGAGAAGATCTTTCGGACCCGCCCTGCCAGCTCTGTAATATACTTGTATAACAGAAATACCTTCTATACAAACCTTCTTTTCTACTTCTAGATAGAAATGTCTACTTTCTCAGCAGTTCTGTGAATTGAAGTACGCAGCGTGACGAGATGCGCGTGCCTGGCTGGTTTGGGAATGCACTAGAAGGATTTCGCAGCAGTGCTGGGAAGTGACAGGGAGTGCCAGGGACAACTCTTAGATTTTTTTTTATGCATTGGGCAGAGCCTTGGGCTGCGGTGTGTATTCCAGTCAGTGGAGATATTCCTACTGGGCATCTTGGCTTCTGCAGCCAAGAAAACCCCTGTGCTAGGCAGTGCTTTAGTTTTTCTATTGAAAATCATTTCTGTGATCTTGCACTTGGCTTCCCTTCCTGCCTGAGGGAGGGCTGCTGTCTGTCCCTCTGACTAAGCCTTTGACTAAGCTCCATCATGGTTCCTCTTGTTTTCACTGTAACTAAAAGCAAGGCCAGTGATGAACAGCCAGTGTCTCCGAAGAGAGAGGACATTCTCAGAGCCTCCCTCACCCTTACTTGGCAGCAAGTAAATACGGGGTGTACCCTGATGGTCGGAGGTCTGGTGTGCATGCTTTAGCAGCTGATGACTAAACCCTCCCCGGCTGGGCCCCACCATAGCCTGGGGTGCTCTGGGAGGCAGCTCTGGGTGGGAGTCAGGCTGGGCTGTGGGTCTGCCTGGTTGGTTAGTCTCTAACCACCTGTCTGACCAAGGTGCCCGTGTGAGGAGTGGGGCAGGCAAGCTCTTGTGCACCTCCGTGTTCACACCCCCTGGGCCTGAAAGTGGAGTCTCACAGATGATGCAGTTGTATAAAATAACAGCTCGCTCTCTCTCAAGAGGTAGAGGATGGGATGGCACAGTTCTCAGTAGTGGCACCACGATGTTCACAATGGGAAATTATATCACACGGTAGCAAAGATAGGCATTTTTATGTGTTCCTTATATTTTACCTCAAATTGTAGATATAGGGTAATAAATAAAATCCATCCATGCCTTTCACATGCAAATTCATTCCTTCTAAGCTGTCTTCCCCAGTGTCTGGGGTGGGGGGTGTGGGCTGGTGGCTGTAGGAGACGGGAGGGCTGGCTGGGGTGTTCATCTCAGTCCCTCTGGATTGGATGCTGTTGTTCCTGGTGTTTTTGAAGAAGTCACTGGTTTTCCCAGAGCTGTGCCCAGCCCCTGCACTGCTACTGTCCACGTTTCACCTGTGTTGAAGACAGAGTCCCTGCACCTAGAAGCCATTTGCTGCCCAGAGCATGGGAAGAACCAGAAGATGGTGCCCCCCACACTGAGGCTGCAGCCACCCAAGGGTGTGAGGGCAGGCACACCT